AAAAAAAAAAAAAAAAAGAGCTCGGGAAAGGGAAAAGATAGAGAAGAGTCTGACTCTGGTGGCCAGTGGAGATCCTCTGGTCTCCCTTAGGGCACGGGGCAGGGACAATAGGCTGTCACTGAGGGGCATACAACAGGCCAGCAACAAAGAGGCTCACACCCACATGGGCTCAGCTGCAGCAAGAAGACAGCTAGGTTTCTGAGGCTCTGGGACTGGTCAGGTTACTAAGGGCTGGGATGGAAAAAGCTCCCCTGCCCCTTTGTCTCTCCTTCCCTTTCACTCTGCAAGCAAAAAACTAAGGGAACATCCTCAAAAAGAACGGAGAGCCTAAGAATCTTCATGGCAAGATCTACTTAGGAACATCAAAGGCTAAGGGCATCCAGGCTTCCAGGCAGAATAGAGGGGAGAGACGGGAATGGCAGGTGGTGGTCAGGAAGTGTCTTCTCTCTCATGGCCCCCAGTGCTGAGCCACGAGAGCAGTCTCAGGCAGGGCAAGGACACAGGAATCTGTCCAGCCCTCTAAGCCCTTTACCTTTGCAATCCTAGGGGCCATGCAGAGCAGCAACTAAACAATCATTGCCACCGGTCTTCCAGGTCAAATTCAAATTCCTGGAACTTGAAGGGAAGGACCATGCTTCTTCCTATTACCCCCCATAGCCCCCCCCCATTCGGATTCCCCCATAAGAAACATTCAAAAGAAATGGTGACCCCCCTCCCCCGACTTAAACATTCTCTTCTGAATGCACCAAACATGAGTGACGGCAAGTCACTTTCCCGGGTAACAGACTGTAGGCAAGCCCTCAGCAACCGCCTTTACACTGGAATTTCCTTCAGATCTGACAACTAACAACTAACCTTACGTTCAAGCGTATCCCTGAAATAACCGTTTTTTCACACAGGCCTTTCTTAACAGCATAAGGTCTTCTGAGGCAGCTACCAACGCCGGCACCAGCAGAGAGATCCCAGGACAACCTGAGAACCAACGGCAAGGCCCGATCCCAACCCCCTCATGCCTTTAGTACATGGGAGCTGAATACACCCCTTCACATCTTAGCTGCCCTGCAGTTTTCCAGAAAAGACCTAGAAGACTTTGAAAAAGGTGATTTAGAAGAAGTGCTTGAACCAAGATTCTGTGGAACATTGAGCCTTCTCTGTCATGGTTCAGGGTAGAATTTGCTTTATTTTTAAACAAGGAGTCTCAGACTGGCAAAAAATCTGCAAGAGAAAAACAGGGCTCAAAACATGGTGAAGGAGCAAAGCAGGAGGTGAGTCTCTAGCTTTTAGCACCTTTGCCTTTAAACCATGACCCTCAGGGCAGAAACCCCTTGTTTCAAGCAGCAGTGTCCAGGAGCCAATGACTGATTCGGAGGGGAGGGATACCACCCAGCGTGCTTTTGAATAATCACTTGCAAAAGGCTGAGCCTTTAAGAACAGCCTTATCTGAGAGCCAGAAGTTGGCAAGAGGCAGCAAATGACTAATAGGCACACGATTGGTCAATCCTACACCTGGAAATGAGGAGTGTTCCCACCCCATGGTGGTGGTGTTAATTCTAATCCTCCCTTCTCCCATTTGCAGCTATTGAGAGGACAGTATAGATGACCCTTGTGACTGCAGTTACCATGTGATGGGGGGTTGCTTTGGCATCTCTAGAGGACTCCAAAGACACATGGCCCTCTTATAACCGTACCTCTTTTGGTCACATTATGCACTGGTTGCAAAAGGCCTTGTCACGGTCAATGAAAGTCCATCCCTGACAAAGGCAGGGCAAGAGAAAACCAGAGGCAGAGGAAGCCGGGGCTCAGAGCTCCAGGAGCCAATCAACTGGAGATGTCTCAGGCTAAAGACTGGAAGGACAGACTAAAGCAAAGGTAGGAGGCTGGCTCCATTTCCTGACGAAATGAACTGGCTGTTTTCACAAACAGGGCCTTTACTCCCTAGTCCCTCAGTGGTCTCTATGGAGTGATAGGCCTTGGGGCAGTAGTGTGAGCTCTCTTCCTTCATCCTCACTTGGAGAGTTCTGTGTGGGGGAGGTGCCACCAATAACCTGACTCCTTTCTGGAGGCCTCTTCCCCTGCCCCCACAACCAAGAGCTAGTAGGAGGGAGATGGTAGGAGGGTCGGTCAATAGGAGAGACAATGTTTGCTTTTTTTTTTAAAGTTCAAGCTTATAGTTCTAATAACCTTGAGGTTAGTGCTATGTGCTATTAATGGGCAAGCTAAATAAACTCTTTAGCAGAAAACACTTCTCAAAATCCGGAAAGGAGACTAGCAGCCCCAACTTGAGATGAAATAAATCTTTTATAAAGGCATTAGCTTTGGGAGTTGAGAGCTCAGCCTTGGTCCAAGTAATCTCCTTTTCTCTGGTTCTGAGAGTGGAAGGCCAGGAGTGGATGTGAAACAGAACCTGGTGAGTGGGGCCGGCCCCGTGGCCTAGTGATTAAGTTTGGTGTGCTCCACTTTGGCGGCCCAGGTTCAAGTTCCTGGGCACGGACCAACACCACTCGTTGGCGGCCATGCTGTTGTGGTGACCCACATACAAAATAGAGGAAGACTGGCAAAGATGTTAGCTCAGGGCGAATCTTCCTCAGCAAAAAAAAAACAACCTGGTGGGGCCTTTTGCTTGGAAGTGATCATATGGCTGTCACAGGTACAGTCTCCTTTCAACTGTGCTCCCCCTGCAACTCTATTCAGCTTGGATGCCGCCTCCTCACACCCCACCAAGTCTGTTCCTGCTACTGTTCCCTAGTCAAGAACTGCTTGCCATCCCAGACACTTGGCCTCTCCCACTGGAGAAAAAAAGAATGGCCTTGGAGGTACTTACGGCATTTTGCTGAGCGTCACAGGGAATTGAATACTGCCCTTCTCTCAGGCATAGGGATCAAAGATGGGGATTGAGGGCCTTTCTTAGATGACCTCAAAACCTTATCCTCAGAACTGGATTACCCAACGGGGCCCACTGTAGAGGTTTTATGTCAAAACATTCTGACGTGGCAAGCCCTCATCAACTGATCCAACACTTCAGAAAACAGGATAATCAGCAAGTTAAGGCATCAATGCTCCACGGCAGCTTCTCTCAGAGCAGAGATTTGAGGTGACAAAGGGCTAGAGGGTCAGAGGCACACATTTCAGAGCTCCCTTCGGTCCGTTTTGAATCACTTTTTTCAAAAGACTCACTGTAAAGTAGATATCCCAATACTCAACATAAAGCAAAACCAAAGCAAACGAAAGCAGAACCAGGCTTAAAGATAATGGAGCACTCTTCACCAAGCTCAAGCAGCATGTAGCTTCCCAGAGTAAAAGAGCACCCTTATTTGATGATACACAAAGAAAACTCACTTAACATTTTGCAATGCATTATAATCCATTCTAAAATTTTGCACATTTGCCTTCTCCAAATAGTTTTTATTTAGAAAGGCTGAAATTAAATGCCAAATGTGTGTCAACTACTGATGTAGGGAAATTTGACCATGTTTGGCAAAATTGGCTCAAAATGAATTATAGAAACTACTCTCCTCCTGTAGGAAAATATCTAATTCCTATCCTCAGGAATAAGAACTAGAGATCCAGCAGGCATTATACATCCTGAAATTCAGGTATAATGCATAGAATGACACTATATCTAGTTTTTAGTAAACCCTAGATATCTTAAGGTCTTACAGTTGAATAAAAAACTGCTACCAATGTCTTCTCTTGGCTTAACAATGCAGCTAATGCTGTGGAAACAAAGAGCTATCATTGGGCGGCAGGACACCTAAACCAAACCTCCGGCAGGGAGACCAGTACAGATATGATAGAGACCCACGATCACACGCAGACAAACATTTTATTATTTTCCTCTACAAGAGACAGTAACATCAATTTTTTTAACAGAAATCTCAGGTCATTTGAGAGGCCAAATAGATCCAAGGAAGGAAGATGAAAATCAAATACTTAAATTAATCAAAAGGCACTATAACACCACCTAAAGCCTACTACCACGGTGGTAGTGGGCTAGGGAAGATTAAGCTACAGCAAAATAATCTCGTGTAAATGTTAGAGAATACAGAGCAAGAAGCGAGTTTGCTTTCCAGAACACTAAGGTACAATGATCAGTTGGGCCCAAGAAGATATTTGGCCAGGAAAAGGTCAAGATGGCTGAAGATCAAGCCAAATGGAAAGGAACAGGTACGAAGGAGAATCCAAGCACTACAGTCCCCAAGCAGAGGGTGATGGATCAGGCTTTTTCCTCCCAGGAAGCATTTGCTGCACCGAATGCTGCCTCCCCTCAGGCCCCGCCCGCCTGAGTGCAGCAGGGCTAAGAGCTGCCTGTCCCCGCCTGACAGGGGGCTCAGCAACCACAGCCGGGGTCATGGCTGCGAGGGCTCTTGCTGTCATTTAGCATAGACCTTAGAGAACTTGTCACAGGTTGGGGGTGGGGGGATTGGGTTGGCTTTGTTGGTAGTAGTTCTGAACCAAGGAAACCCTGAAGCATTCACATGCAAAGGAGTCTGAGCTTCCCCAATCACATTCCAACACCCCTACACAACACCCTTCAAAGGCTGAAATCCTGCAGCAGCTGAGCTGTAGTTAAAGCTGCAAGGCTCACAAAATCAAAGAAGCCAGAATGAGACAATGTAGGCAGGAAATCCCAGCAGTTAATCTCAATCTGTCTTGCCCTAAATTTTAGGAGAAACACTATTATACCTGGTGTGGGATGTAGAAAGCTACACTGGAGCAAGCTGGGTCTTCTGCTGAACTTTTCATCAAATACCAAGGGAAAACAAGGGGCGGGGTTCACTTTATTTTTAAAAAGCCTCAGAAATTATTCTATTATAAAGGGACATGGCTGAATAGGTAGGAAACCGATTCCCCATTGTGAGTTCTCCTGATGGCTTCTGCAAGAATCATGGAGATGTCGATCACCTACAAAGGCAAGAAAATCCTCAGGTTAGTATCAGGGGACAGAGATGACCAGCCAATTTGCAAACACTGATGAGCAGGCTGAGGAGGGTCCTTCCTCTTGAGACTGCTGCATTGTGCTGTTTCCCCTCATAAGCCCACACCCAGCTAGTCTTCATAACATTTTTAATATAAGCATTAGGAAAGAATCAGAATGCGAATGGTGAAAAAGCCCTGACTCACACTCAAAAATTCTTAGGAATAAAAACAAACAAACAATATTTAAGCCGAAAAAAAATCTTTAAGAATGACATCAACCCTCCAGGTCTACATATTTCAGATAGCAAATGGATTACTGTACACATTTTTAATTAAGCAAAGCCTTGTTCTTTTAGTGTCACAGCAATCAAACTTCAGTGTCTAATAATTACTTGGGGAATTACTCTAAAGTACTGGTCCCAGGACCTCTGGTTCTGTAGGTCTTGGATGGAGCAAAGGAATGTGCATTTTAACAAGAACTCCAGGTAATTAATTTAGGTGGTTTCCAGAGCACACTTGGAACAACACTGTAGTTCTAAGGAGCACACCATCAGCTTTCACATTAGGTCTGCAGGGGCTAACATTTAAGAGTGACACACACATACTGTAAAGCATGGACCTACAAACTTGAGTGTGCATTACAATCACCGGGAGAGCCTGTTAAAATATAGAATCCTGGGCTCCATCCTCCAGAGATTCTGAGGTCTAGCAATTTGAATTTTTAAACATGTGATTTTTTACTTTTGGATCACAGAGCCTGATGCCAGACTAAACCCTTAAGAGCAAAGGAAGAAATCTTCAGAAGCCAGACATCTAATTCAACATATGTAACCACCTCCTAAATACTTAGTGGAGTTGTGTTTTGCAAGAATCTCATCCTCACCTGTATTTTGGAGCAATGCCTCATCTTATCCTCCTGAGGTATGGTATTGGTGACTACTACTGCTTCAAAGCATGCATTGTTAATGCGAGAAATGGCCGGACCAGAAAAGATGCCATGAGTCAGGATAGCATAAACTCGGGTGGCTCCAGCTGAGAGAAGTCTACAGGAAAAAGCAGAGTTGATTTGGATTAATCTTACTTGTCACTATAGAATCTGAGTTAGGAAGGAGGAGTGTTATTAGTCAGCTTGGCTGCCATAACAAAATACCACAGGCTGGGTGGCCTAAACAACAGAATTTTATTTCTCAGATTCAGAGGCTGAGAAGTCTGAGTCTAAGGTGGTGGCGAGGTAGGTTTCATTCTGAGGTCTCTTCTCTTGGCTTATTAGTGGCTGCCATCTCAATGTGGAGGAGGTAGCAAGCTCTCTGGTGTCTCTTCTTATAAGGGCACTAATCCCATCATGACCTCATCTAAACCTAATTACTTTCCAAAAGTCTCACCTTCAAATACCATCACAATGAGCATTAGGGCTTCAACATATCAATTTTAGAGGGACATGATTCAGTCCATAGCAAGGAGAGAGAACTGGACTAAGAACTTATCTGAATACATTCGTATTAGTGTAAAAGGACTGTAGCACAGACTGCTACGCTCAACAAAATCCATCTCTTCTTCCTGGACACACAGCTGGACTACATTTCCCAGCCTCCCTTGCATAGTTAGGTGTGGCCACATGACAATTCTGACTATCAAAACGTGGGCAGATACAATGTACACCACTTTTTGGTTGGGCTTATAAAAATTTTCCATGGGTGATCTTCCACGCTCTTTTCCCTTTCTGGCTGGCCAAAATGGAAATATCTCCCAAAGTAATCTTGGAAGCCACATGTTAAAGATGCAGTGCCACAAGACTGAAAGAGGACTACTCACACTGGAGTATGCCATGAACAAGAAAGGAACTTTATCATGTTAAGCTACTGACAATTCAGGGAGTTGATCTGTTATAGCAATTAGCATTACCTTACTAATATGAGGACAAAATGAATTTTATAAATGTATACTCCAGGATCCAAATCAGGAATCATTCAGTACATAAATTTTTTTAGCACCTATTATATGCCAGGCCCTGGGTAAGGCACACTCACGAAGTTAAAGAAAAGTTATGAGAGACAATGCTGTCTATAGTGACTTGGATTGTAAGCAATGGGGTGCCACTTAAGGTTTTAAAGGAGAGGAGTGATGGGATCTAGCCATAGTTGTGGAAAGATTAGCATGTGGAAAGGCAATGTGAAAGATGCACTGGGGAGGTAAGAGACTAGTGCCTGGCAGCAGAGAGAACAGAGGGAAGGCAATTTAGAACGGTGCAGGCAAGAGAAGAGAAGCGATATGAACAAAGATAGTAGCAGCTAAAATGGATCGTCAAGAGTTAAGATCAGGGTTTCTGGCTCAGGTAAACTATAAATAGGAGACTATATTTCTGTCTTCTCAAGCCAATGGATTTCCACTTTAACTTGTTAAAAAAATTATCAAAAGTATTTAGAGTGATGAAAAAATTTTGTAAATACAGTGGTGATAATTGTACAACATTGTGAATGTAACTAATGCCATTGAATTGTACACTTAAAATGGTAAATTTTGTGTTATAGATAGTTTAGCACAATAAAAAGAAAAAAAACTAAGGAAATCTGGGAAAAAATAAAGTACTCATCAATTCATATGTACTGCAATTCATCATATGTACTGCAATTCAAGCCTAGGGTGATGAAAAACTCCCACAGCTAGTTATCATCCCCTCAATTCAGTTCCAAAGAGAATCAGCAGGCTGAAGGAATTCGGACAAAAGTTAGCTTTTTGTTGTTGTTGTTGTTGAGAAGAAGATCAGCCTTGAGCTAACATCCGAGGCCAATCCTCCTCTTTTTTTGCTGAGGAAGATTGGCCCTGGGCTAACATCCGTGCCCATCTTCCTCTACTTTATATGAGACACCGCCACAGCATGGCTTGACAAGCGGTGTGTTGGTGCGCGCCCGGGATCTGAACCTGGGAACCCTGGGCCGCCAAAGCGGAGCACGCACACTTAACCACTGCACCACCGGGCCGGCCCCAGCAGTTAGCTTTTGACTTCTAACCACCAGCCCCACCACTGAACACTCACTTGTCAGCCGCATGGCAAATTGTGCCACAAGTGTCAGCCATGTCATCCACTAGGATGGCCACCCGATCTTTCACATCTCCCACCAGCACCATGCGGTCTACTTCATTGGCCTTCTTCCGTTCTTTGTGAATCAAGGCAAAGTCCACATTCAACCGGTCTGCGATGGAGGTCACTCTGCAAAACAGGGTGTTCACAGTTAAAACCTGTGTTTGTGTGGGGGGGGCTCCTAAGACAAAAGAAATGGACTAAAGAATGGGCTTGTTTTCTGGGGGCAAATACTCCTTGAAACCTTCCCAGGGCTGGAAGAAAGCAACTATAATAGACTGACAGCACAAACTGGGTTTTATAGACTGATGCCTCCATATCCTGAGAGGAGTTTATGAATATATTAGTCAAATTTAGGTTATAATTCATTCTGGGTTACAGTAGGGGATAGACAGACACCCTCACCAGTTCTGGGAAGCAGTATAACGCTAAGGCACGTTCATTTAATGGATTGGCAGCAGAAGGGGAGAAAGAAGGCTTGGTTAACTAACGCCCTGGAGTGCAGACTGTCCCAACTGCACATGCGGATGTGGTGAGAAGTGAACCTGAACCTGCGGGAGATGAGCAGTACCCAGCCTGTTCCAATGCCCGTGCCCTCATCACACTGCCCTCAGTGATCCACCAACTGTCGATGTCAACTGTACCTGGACACCAAGTTTGGGAGTTCCTTTAATGACTGCTAGAAAGAAAGTTACACCAATTAACCAGGCAAACTGGGCATGTCACTGTACAGCCCAAAGTATCTCCAAATCAAAACAGAATTCTTTTTTTTTGTTACAAGATAATACGAACCAGACTAGAAGGTACAATAGAAGACAAATCTATTTGGTGACAAAGTGCCATATAATTTAAACAGAAATCTGTTTGGTGTAAATGACAGTGTGCTGCCCCAGTGACAGGCGTGTCCGTGCTCCACTGTGCCATCCTCATCATATGTGAAGAGGCCTGTGCTTTGGGTTTTACTTTTTAATGTAGTACTGGTCCAAGCAGAGCACTGTGTCCTGATTCCTTTGTGACTATGGTCACATACCTGAGTTTGTGCTGACTAGCGGAACCTGTGACCATAGAATAGAGAACACACAAGGTTTGAACCACAACCTAGGCAAAATGTGTACCCTGATCTAAATGACCACACCCTGTGCTCTCCATTACTACTGTGTGGGCACATAACATCGAGAGTAACCAATCTGCTTGGAATGATGACTTGTCGGAGGCAAATGCATGATCAATTAGTTCTAGCATCCCAGACTGTCCATACTCAATCGCCAACAAACTCAGTGAGTGACAAAGCATAAACAGCCAGAAAAAGTCACTGCCTATACTCTTGAGGGGAGAACTATGTGCAGGTCACATCACACAGGGATCTCTACGTACTCCAAAAACCCTGCCAAGGCAGAAGAACCCAGCCAAGCCACTCACTGTGAAAATACTTCACCACTATAAAAAAATTATAAACAACAAAAAATCATGTAGCGATAAGTCATCTACTGAAGGCAGTTTTTTTGTACCCAACTTTGGAAAGAAAATCCTGCTTGATTATTTATTTCAAACATGAGTATTTCTCAGTTCCATGGCAAGATGTGAAAATAATGTCCAACAGATTAAGACAAGTATGACAACTACCATTAGAAGGATGTTTATGAGGTGCTCTCTCTAGTATTACAGGGGCTAACTAGCGATTACGTGGGACCCACAAAACCACACACCTGGGTGGATAATAGAACTCAAGTTCTCAGCTCATCAGTTCTGTTGAAGTTACTGAAATAAAGAAGTTGTTGAGAAAGTTACTGAAGACTTTGAATGGCTTTTATTTTTTTTATTTTTTGTGTGAGGAAGATCAGCCCTGTGCTAACATCTGCCAATCATCCTTTTTTTTTTTTTTTTTTTTTGCTGAGGAAGACTGGCCCTGGGCTAACATCCGTGCCCATCTTCCTCCACTTTATATGGGACGCCGCCACAGCATGGCTTGCCAAGTGGTACATCGGTGTGCGCCCAGGATCTGAACCGGCAAACCCCGGGCTGCTGCAGCAGAGACCACGCACTTAACCACTTGTGCCACCAGGCCGGCCCCTGAATGGCTTTTAGAAAGATCTGAATTTGCTTTTCCGAATCCTCTGTGTTTTGTCGCTCTTCATTCTATTTCCACAACAAGAAGAACATGTCATACTTTTGAATGCATCACTAACGAGTGATCCACTAGGGAAATCAAAAGCTCTTAGTCGGCACCACATGAGCTGCAAAGCACGGCAACCGGCAATCCCTGGCAATCAGTTTGTTTAAAATGTTATGGTCTTGGCTTTAAATAAAATTACCACACTTTATTTTCCCTCCTGCTTAATATTTTAATCCAAAGGTTCCAAATGGTCTAACCACAGCATTAAGAGGTGTGTAAAAGCTTACTTGTCTGCTATTAGCATGTGGTTCGATAGCAGGTGCCATTCATTAGAAAACCAAATTTCCTCCCCTTCCTGATAGGTTTACAGCAGTTTGCTAGCCCTGCAGTGCTAAGTTACTACTGGGTTACAGTCAAGCCCACAATACCAGACTATTTAGGGCTCCTTGGCTGCTGTCTTGTCTTTCGGGTAGTGACTCAGGCCAGTAAAAGATGAGTGAGTAAAACTATATCCAGCCCACGTCCCAGCTACTGGCGCATCCATTCTGAAGTACTTAAAACTGTCACTGGATAGAAAAACATCACTTTCTGATACAACTGTCTGAAAGATCTTCCCAGTACATTGGGAACAGTACAAATTTCAACCACACCTCTTAGCTCCACCAGCATCGGGTGAGACAATAGTGCAGTTCCTCCACTCTGAGATGTTCTCCCTTATCCACTTCAGGACAGCTGGCTCTGCATACAAATTGTCCACGGGGATATCAAAAAAGCCCTGTAGAAAGAAGCTAGGTCAGTTTTGTTTTGTTTTCCTTCTTTTCCCTTTATTTATTTTTTAAGTGAATCAATTTGACATGTAACATTGTGTAAGTTTAAGGTTTACCCTTTTCTTCCATTTATAAATGACTAACACAAAGAGAATAGTAATTTGCCCAAAGAATACCTTACTACAACACTCAAACTGATCAGAAGGCATGCCCAGTGTGGTAGACTGTAAAAATGCCCTCTTTGAAACTGGACTGTGTAAGACAGCCCAGCCATGATGGGCAAAGCCAGCCCCCAGCTAACCCACAACTGACCAAAGGCACATGAGTGAGCCAATGGGAAAAACGGCCAAGTTCAGCCGAGACCAGAACTTCTAGCCAACGTGCAGACCCATGAGACAATAAATACTTACTGCCTTATGCCACCAAATGTTGGGCTGGTTTGTTAAGGAGCAAAAACTAACTGGTAAACCAGTTAGCAATGCTATGGTATATAAACTTAGTGGAAGGTATTTATAATAAATGGTCACAGAGAGTAACTAGAAGTCAGGAGATCTGTGTTCTAATACTAGTTGCTACAGATTAGTTGTGTTTTTCAACTTTGTTCTTCATCTATAAAATTGGTATAACCAATCACCTGTCCTATGTACCTCATTGGATTGCCATAAGCCTCCAATGATAATGATTTGAAAGTCTCTTTAAAAAGTATAAAATAACGGGGCCGGCCTGGTGGCATAGCGGTTAACTGCGCACACTCTGCTTCGGCAGCCCAGGGTTTGCCGGTTTGGATCCTGGGGGCGGACCTGCACACCACTCATCAAGCCATGCTGAGGCAGCGTCCCACATAAAGCAACTAGAAGGATGTACAACTATGACATACAACTATCTACTGGGGTGTGGGGAGAAAAAAAGAAAAAAAAAAGGAGGAAGATTGGCAACAGATGTTAGCTTAGAGCCAACATTCCTCAAAAAAAAAAAAAGTATAAAATATAAGGTGGTATTCCACTCCCCTTACTCTGGGTTTATGCTACAAAGTAGGTTCCTCGGGGGCCGGCCGCATGGTGCGGTTAAGTGCACGCGCTCCACTGCTGGCGGCCCGGGTTCGGATCCTGGGCACGCACCGACGCACCACTTGTCAGGCCATGCTGTGGCGGCGCCCCATATAAAGTGGAGGAAGATGGGCACATATGTTAGCTCAGGGCCAGTCTTCCTCAGCAAAAAGAGGAGGATTGGCATGGATGTAGCTCAGGGCTGATCTTCCTCACACACAAAAAAAAGAAAGTAGGTTCCAAATCTGTGGCTCTAAATTTAATGATGACAATAACACTTCCCATTTATTTGGTACCTGTCATGAGCCAGGCATTATACTATGAATTTAATATCTTTTTTAATACTCGTAATAACAAAGCAGTGTATGTTCAGAGAAGTTAAATAAACTGCAAGGGTTACAAAGCTAGTAAGTGTCAGAGCCAGTATTCAAACTAGATCTGATCCCAAAGCCTACGCTCTTCCCAGAATACCACACTGCCTCCCTATCCAACCACCCCAAGTGACTAAGATCATGAACTCTGCTTAAGGTGAGGATGTTCAAAATGTCACCAGTATCTAGTTTATTTGAGCTGTACTTGGGCAGTTTTTTGCTTCTCTGAAGTCTTCAGCATTATCACTCCTCTCCTCCCCACTTTCTAACCCCTAATAATTTCTAAGCTAATATTTAGCTTCCATTGATACCTGAATTTGAGAAGCATGCAGGTCCATGGTGATAATATGATCCGCACCTGCTACAGAGAGCATATTTGCAACAAGCTTGGCTGAGATTGGAGCCCGGCTCTAAATGGAGGGGAGGAAAGAAAAAAAAAAAAAGCCAATTTGAGAAACAATTCATTTGCTCAAGAAGCATTTATTTATTACATACTTACTATGTTTAAGGCGCTGTGCTACCAAGAAATTCACAGAAAGTGACATGGCCATTGACTCTGAGTAGATCACTACCTAGCACAAATATAAAGTGCAATATCACTTTTCCAACTCAGGATACATTTCAGAAAATACTTTCCTACCTTTCATTTTATTAACTTACTGTACATATTTTCAGCCTATTCAAGTGTTTCCAATGCTAAATTATTTAAATTAGGCAGAGAAAAATTTTTTTCATAAGAATTTTATTAAAATCTCTTTCAACACATATATACTCCAACCTGTATAACACCTAACATGTCAAAATTTAACAACATATCGCAGAATGGAAATTGTAGCTTTGTAAATTACACCACCCCCTTACTCATCTGGAGGTCAACCTTCCAGCAACCTCAACCCCTTTAAATAACAGGTAAACATGCTTGCTGCACTCTGAAATAGCACAGCCCATGCCTTTTATACTCTGTAGGAGCACCACACTCAATTGGAATAAAAATATCTGGCCTTCTCCCAAGCATTGTATGTAAAATTTAGGCATTGATTACAATAGACCTGTAAAGTTATATGTATATGTCTTATATTTTAATATGCCAGATAAATAATGCGCAGCATGTGTGTGTATAATAAGACCAAGTATTCATGCAACAGACTTCAAGTTTTATGAAGAGGTCACAACTAGAACCCCAAGAGCATCCCAGAGGATCTGTCACAGTTTAAAAAATAGTCTAGTCCATGGGAGCTGGTGCTTAGTCTTACTGATACAATTAAAAACAGCAGTGAGCTAACCGAAAGTCACAGAGGTATGACTAGAAAAAAATATACAGACTCCAAGTGTGTTGCTTTATACAAACCAATCACCTCAATTGTTTTGAAGATCGAGTAATACCTAAGAGAATGTGCTACAAAAATAATACCCTCTAAATATATATCTGACGATTAAGAAAATTTTTGGTGACTTTGGGCAAGTGCTCCTGCTTCCCCTGATTAAAAAAAAAAAATTAAAGAAAAAGAGATTCTGTTCCTACTTTATCCTTCTTATCCTGCCGGGCATAAGGGAAGCATGGGATGACTGCGGTAACCCGGCTGGCTGAAGCAATCTTGCAGGCATTGATCATGATCAAAAGCTCCATCAGATTGTCGTTGATTTCACCACAGCCACTCTGAACAATATAGACATCCTCTCCACGCACACTTTCGCCAATTTCCACACTACAGTGGGAAAGAAAGGACAACAAAGATGAGATTTTAAAGCACTATATATACTTCTGTAGATAGTAAGATCTCAAAAGCACAGCTTTCCTACTAGTACCCTATGAATGGGCTACAGCTGCATGTCGACACTGATCCCCTCAGACTTGAGGAGGTCCCCTGGAGGAGCCCCTGTACCAGAAGTGGTTTACTGCCTCAGTTTGCTCCAGTGTACTATACAAATATTACCTATTTTTACATGTGACATGACATGAAAAAGATTGGCTAAAGTACTTATAAGTAATTGGACCATAATTTCAGTAGGTAGCCCATATCTCATTTCATATAGATACGTGACCTGTGAATGCAAATTTGATACAGCATCTGGGACTGTCACAATTCATATGTAACAAAAGAAATAGAAAGAACATATAAGGAATGAATCACTACTATTCTATAATGATGCCTTCTACAGAAGACAGCGGCACATCTACCATATTGGCAGTTCACTCAACAGATACTGAATGTTCATATGCCAGTCACTGTGCTAGGTGCCAGGGACACCATGGAGAATAAAACATGTGGTCCTTGCTCTCACTCTATGCTAATTGTACTCCAGTCCAATTAGTAAGTCTTGTTTAAAAAAATCTCACAGAAAGTTACTCTAATTATGGAGTAGGGCTATATTTTACCACAAAATGAACGTTTTAATATCCATACTTCGATCCTTACCAAGAATAAATTATGATTAAAAAATAATAACCTCAGTGACACCTCAAAGCAACACCATTTCCCCAATTAATCTTCTAGGTGAGGTGGGGTATTGGTGGGTGTGCATGCGTGCATGCGTGTGTAGTGTGTATAGACGAGGAGTAAAACAGAATGGTTGATAACCACTAGCGATGAAGAGAAAAACTTCTCCAATAGGAGATAATTCCATTGCCAGAAGAAGCTGATATAGGAGATAATTATTATTTAATATTTATTGTTTTCCAATCCAAGTAACAATTGAAAGGATCCTACTTTTAAAAAGAGTGGGATTAGTTGATATCGCAAAGCAAGAAAAATAAAAGCAAATGGTAAAAATCAAACCAGAAACCAATCAGAACAGGGAAGTTGAGATTCCTGGTAGAGAGAACAAAGAGGAAAACACGTTACTTTGCAGTATCTGAAGATAAACCTTCTGGCACTGAATTCAAGAAGTATTTTATACTAAGGATCCTTATGTTAAAAGTGCATCAAATCAATGATCTTAAGTCCTTACATCAAGAAACTAGAAAATGGGCAAAATAAACTCAAAGTAAGCAGAAGGAAGAAAATAACCATAAGAGCAGAAATCAATGAGATTGAAAACAGTAAAATAGCTCTTCCCATAAGCGGCCTGAGGTGCTCTCTGAAAATGGTTCGCTACTCACTTGACCCAGAAAACCCACAAAATCATGCAAGTCAAGAGATTCAAATCTTTGTGTTCGCTTTAAGAACACTTGTGAAACTGCCCAGGCTATCAAGGGTATGCATATCCAAAAAGCCACAAAGTATCTGAAGGATGTCACTTTAAAGAAGCAGTGGGGGCTGGCCCAGCGGCGCAAATGGTTAACTGCGTGCACTCTGCTTCGGAGGCCCAGGGTTCACAGGTTTGGATCCCGGGTGCGCACCGATGCACCGCTTGTCAAGCCATGCTGTGGCAGCGTCCCATATAAAGTGGAGGAAGATGGGCACGGAAGTTAGCTCAGGGCCACTCTTCCTCAGCAAAAAAAGAGGAGGATTGTCATCGGATGTTAGCTCAGGGCGACTCTTCCTCAAAAAAAAAAAAATAAATAAATAAAAGAAGCAGTGTGTGCCATTCCGTTGATACAATGGCGGAGTTGTAGGTGTACCCAGGCCAAACAGTGGGGCTGGACACAGGGTCAGTGGCCCAAAAAGAGTGCTGAATTTTTACTGCACATGCTTAAAAATGCAGAGAGTAATGCTGAACTTAAGGGCCTGGTAGAACCTCTGGTCATTGAGCACATCCAGTGAACAAAGCCCCCAAGATGCCAGGCAGGACGTACAGAGCTCATGTGCAGATCAACCCCTACATGAGCTCGCCCTGCTACACTGAGATGATCCTTACTGAAAAAGAGCAGATCGTTCCTAAACCAGAAGAGGATGTTGCACAGAAGAAAAAGATATCCCGGAAGAAACTGAAGAAACAAAAACTTATGGCCCAGGAATAAATCCAACGTAAATTAAATGCAAATAAAAGTAAAAGCAAAAAAAAAGAAAACAGTAAAATAATAGAGAACAACCAATCAAACATAAGCTGGTTCTTGGGGGTAGGAGAATCAATAAAATTGACAAACCTCTAGGAAAACTGACCTAAAACAGCTTCACTGGAGAATTCTACCAAACAGTTAAAGAATTAACACGAATTTTGCACACTCTTTTCCAGAAAACAGATGAGGAGGGAATACCTTCCAACTCATTTTCTGAGGCCAGTATTACCCAGATACCAAAACCAGATAAAAGGCAATATAAAAAAGAAAACTACAGAGGGGGAAGAGGAGAAAGGTGGGTGTGGTTACAATAAGGGCAGCAGGAAGGATCCTTGTGGTGACAGAATGGCTTTGTATCTTGACAGCATCAATGTCAATATCCTGGTTGCTGCATTATACTACAGCTTTGCAAGAAAACTGTAGTTTGGAAAAACTATGGTTGGCAACTTTGGGAAAACTGGGTAATGGGTACATAGGATCTCTTTTTTATTTCTTACGACTGCATGTGAATCTACAATTATCTCAAAATTCAATTTTAACAAAAAGTGCATTATTATACCTTGTGTATACTTGAGTAAGCCATTACTTCAGCTCTCAGTGAAAGCTGAGGTCATAAAAGTATAACTAAAAACAAAGGCCAGGGCCGGCCCCGTGTCTTAGCGGTTAAGTGCGCTCGCTCCGCTACTGGTGGCCCCTGTTCGGATCCCGGCGCGCACCGACCCACCGCTTGTTGGGCCATGCTGAGGCGCCGTCCCACATACAGCAACTAGAAGGATGTGCAACTATAACATGCAACTATAACATACAACTATCTACTGGGGCTTTGGGGAGAAAAAGGGAAAAAAAAATAAAAACAAAGGCACTTCTGTAGTAAGTCAAAAGAACCTAGTCCCGTTGCATTATTTTCTGAGAAACTATGTAAGACTGAGAGAGAATCTGGAGAACTCTGGTTTTTAAGTTAATTTGAGAAATAGCTCATCTCAAAATATTTCCTCCCTAGCTTACCATGCATGAGTCATGCTGTCTTCCTTTACATTCCTTGAATATACCCTTTCCCACCTCATGGCCTTTGCATTTCTTCCCACTACCTGGAATGCTCTTTCTACAACTAGCTCATTCATTTCTCAGGTCTCCAATCAAAATATCTTCCCTGCCCATCTTATTAAAAGTGACTTCCCTGAGAACCTATAAGATTAAAAGTGACTTAAAAAAATATCAACCAATTGCACTATATGAACTTTATTTGCATAGCAATTCAAGAAAACTGTGAAAAAACACACTTATGAGACAGGGAAATTTGAACACTAGCTAGTTATCTGATATTAAGAGATTATTGTTAACTTTTTTAGGCAAGAAAATGGTATTGCAGTTATTGAAATATATATGGGTGATATAATATCTAGGCTTGCTTCAAAATAATTCAATTGTGAATGTGTGTGGGGAAGGGTAATAATAGATGAAATAAGATTAGCCATAAATTGGTAACTGCTGAACTCAGTGATGGGCACATGGGTGGGAAGGATCACTACTATTCTCTCTACTTCTGTATATGTTTGAAATGTTCCAAAATAAAGTTAAATGAAGTGGCCCTCCCCACTTATACTCTCATGGCCCTGGTTATTCCCTTCAGAACACTTATCACAATTTGTTATCACTTTATTTTTTATGCACTTGTTTATTGTCTGTCTCCTCCACTAGAATGTAAGCTCCATGAAGGCAGGGACCAGAGCTGTCATGCTCACCTGTATCCCCAGCCAGCCAGTGCCAATATGGCACGAAGAATGAAGGAATGAATGAATACCTCTCAGGATTAGGCTGCCTCGTGCATCCACTCACTTTAGACAGAATGTGACCCTTCTGTAGGCCTGTTATTGTGAAAATTTAGAAGACTTGATTTTTATCATCCCTCGCAAAGTACCTCACTACACACTAGACGCAAGTGGGTCCAACATGTTTCTTTAAAAGGTTTTGACAAATCTGCTCATACCCTTTTACAGATACTCAGCTCACAGACATTTAATTTTGGGTAGAACTACAACCTGATGGGCCCACCAAGATGTGATAGCTACAAAGAATTTTCTGGCTGGATCCTGAAAGAGTGATAGTGAGCAACATGACGAACAATACAGCACTTTCGTGGACCCCTGAACTGAACTGACATCTATTAATCACCAGATAAGCTTAAGAAACAACTGAATCTGTCGACAACGTCAACTATGCCAATGCCGAAACTGCTTTCTGAAGATGTTCTTCAAAATTCAAATGGACAGGCAGGAGAGAGCCACGGAAGACTTTCTGGAAGAGCAACTTCCATGTTTTCCAAAGTGTAGGTCCTAGAATGGCACTGCCCAATAGAACAGAATGAGTCACTGGCCTCGGGTGATTATTGAGGAACTGAATTGACAGGCACTGTAAGTGTAAAATACACATCTAATTGTGAAGACAGTATAAATAAAAGGAAAAATATATCTCAATTTTAATATTGCTTACATGTTAAAATTATAATATTTTGGATATATTGGTATAAACAAAATATATTATTAAAATTTTTAAAAATGCAAATGGACAAGACTAAGTAACCCCTCCTGGAGGAGAATACGTTCTGCAGTTCCTCATTATGGTAGGCCCAAACAAGAGGCAGTGGGTGTTTAAAGGGACTTCTCAGATATCCTTTACTAACACTGCCCGCCCTTTGAGAGGTTCCAGGCTAAAGAGTCCCTTCTGTGTCTTGTTTTGTTTTTTTTGCGAGGAAGATTGGCCCTGAGG